TTTTCAGTCTTTTTGGTTACCCGTCCCTGTCATGGTAGCATTTTCCACTAGCAGACCTAATAAATGTAAAATACTATAGGAATCCGAACTGCAGTAGCAATATCATTGATATTTGGACAAACTTGCCTACATGTATGGCTCTGTAGGTCCTGGAAAGAACTTTCTCATATACATGTATTCCAATATAAAGATTTCCAACCCTTATTGCTTATAAAGTTATGCCATGAATCCATCTCCGAGGGCCATGAGCAGAGGTGTAGTTCATAGATTGCTATATGCGCGTACAGGAATAAAAGTGATATGCAATGGGAGTCTATCAGTTTGATGCAGCGAAGAAGTCCAGATTCAAGAAGTTGAAATTTTCAAAAAGACAACAGACAAACGAAACAGCGGTCACAGGAACCTTAAGCTCACCTGGACTAAAAAAAACTGCTGACAACTTAAGGTCTCACGATCGACCAAACAACCTTGATCTTGCATCTGTTTGTAACGTATCAATGAAAAATGTTTCATAGTCTTCTATTTCTAAAGCAGATTTAAATGTCTGGGAAAAATATACACACCAAAATCGTGATATGCCTTTGAGCACTTCAGGTAATGTCTTATATACAGGATCACATAAATCCAATCTAATTAAAATTAGATCCTTTGTGTAGCGATCTTAGGTGAGCGGATCAAAGGATCTAATTTTAATTAGATTGACATAAATCTTGCACAAATGCTCGAAGTAAGATAAGGAAACTTCAACATCAAATTCTTAGGAGATTTTTTTTTTTTTGAGGAACGGTTCGTCTGAATTTTTAAATCACACTTGTGAGCAGGGTCATGGCCTTACGACCCCCCCCCCCTTTAAAAAAAATCTTCAAATTCATTTTCGGCTTTCTGTTTAAAAACCATATTAATATTACAGCTCATGTGCACTATTCATTAACATTTATTAAACCCTCTTCATATGTATTACGCCATTGATAACCAATTTTGTTAACTAATACATGTATCCGGTAGGTATTGCACACGATCGAGCCTTAATATTAATCATTTGGTATTAAAAGATAAATACATGTATTTAGATGAAGAGGTAAAAGAATATTTTTATGCAAAAAAAAAAAAAAAAAAAAAAAAATGAAAAAAGGAGAGGATCATTATTATGTGAATTGCATTATGAGTATATTTCCTCACAGTATTTAAGTACAATATACGAGATTTTTTTTTTTTACTTATGTCTTATAATTCAACCAAGTTTTTAGAAAAAAAATTATTTATTCGGCAAAATTTATCGCTCCTGATTGCAACATATTGATCGTATACACAGGCAAATACTATAGTAGATAATTAGTTTCTGCGGTAAAATTTAGATTTTATAAGGACAAAGTGTAATTTGGGGGTAGTTATTGTACAATAAGAATCAGGTCAGAATACTATACGTAAGAATACGGTAATTTACTTGTGAAGGAATTAATTAATAAAACGAAATAATGCACTTCATACATGTTTGTACGTTCCCATTTACGGACAATATTGTACCTTCATGGGAGAGGATACTGCACAAAAAAAATCACTATATTACATTTAATACACCATTCTTTGGAGTCAATAATCTTCCTACCTAGTATAATCATACAAATTGTCGACATTTTGAAGCATTGCGTACGATTTTTTTTTCTTTTCAAATCATGGTGACATTTTTTTTCCTGTCTGTATGAGTATCGGTTCCATCCCACATATCAGAATCCTTTGTGACAAAGTCACAAATTGATTAAGGTTTATTGACCCTCTGATAAGAGAGATAACTCTTATTGCGTAAAATAAACAATTCTTTTCAATTTAAATTATGCACCGCCAAATCTGCTGAAATTGGGTGCATTTTAGTTAAAAATTATATTTCTTTTGGAAAATTATTAAATTTATTATCTGAGTGTTTAAGAGGGATGAATGATCTAGAATACTCTTGTATTCTAGGTCATGTTTTTAAATAAACGTAACAGCGCGCTTGTTTGCTACATTCAGTGGCCTAAATTCAGTAAATTGTTCTCTCAAGTTTTGGTTGGTCAAATGCGGATTATTGCTGATGTTATTTATACATGTAGCTTTACTTATGACAGAAAAAATGCAGTCCAAACACCAAAAAGTGAGTCCTAACACTTAAATGAAAACATAATTTCGTAAATAACTGTAAAGAAAATGTCAGCATAAATCATTTCATTGTGGCATGTTTCAAATAGCTGCCATATTTGTTCTTTTTTTCTTTTTAATTTGTAGTTCTAATTGGTTTTGGATATATGTACATGCATATTATATCAATTAAATTCTCTAGGATCCCTGTTGTACTTTCAATAACAGATGTGAGAAAACTTCTAGAAAAAAAGGAAGCTAATCATCTAAAAACAAAATGCGCAATTTTTCTAAAAATAAATTTATCAACAATCACACAAATCTCCATTTATATAGGCAGAATAAATGAGATTCTATATATTGATTTGTTACTACGTCTGTCAGAGTGCTATATATAGGTCTATCGTGGTTCATTTTACATAAGGATCTGCAGCTGACCTTGGGCAATAGACAATATTTTATTTATCCTGAAAATATTAATTCTTAAGTTATTTTTTTAATTAATATTCACTGCATGCTTAGCGTAAATATGTTAAACCTTAATTTGGTTTTGTGTAATCACAAGACATTTTTTTAAAATACTATCGTAAATTTGTAATTGACCGTGTGGCACAGTAACTGTTGTATAAACTTTGTTTTTACTGCCACCCGGTAAATTCAAAATTTATAACATGACAATATTCTCATATATAATACAAGTCGCGAAATGATTGCAGTGGTTAATATATATATATATTTAATTTGGGTAAAGATTCCACATTATATGGCTGAAAATTATGTAAAAAAGCACGTTTCTGTACATGCATCTTTTATGTATATGTCTCCATAATACAAAATACACAATGTTCTTGCTAATATAACTTAAGAGTACACTGAACTTCTGAGGAATCCATGCAAAAAAAACTGAACGTCTACGACCTTTGTGTCATCAACGTATGCAATATACATTGTATATCGCATTGTACAAGTCTTGGGCCTTGGGATCATAAATATTTCACCTTCTTCGTGTTCGATAATTTTTAAAGTTAAATTATTCTTAATAACATGCACGTGTACGGTTAATCATATAAATATGAACTTTTACTGGGCTCAAGTCGAATTGTTCTGTCCAAATCATTCAATATAGATAACTAGCTTAAAAATAGCTGAAATATTACTTTTAATATTATTCTTGGCCTTTTTTTTTATTACATACCTCATACGTTGCTTATTTGTCCACGGGAAATAAATGCATCGTTCTGAAACTTGCATCAAATTATTTGATTCCTGTGCTATATTGCTTTTTTCAGTATCGTTGTATTTATTCATTGTGTGACTTTGCATTAAATTTCCATTTCTTCTTTTACATTCTTTTCTTCTAAGATTGCTCTCTCTCTCTCTCTCTCCAATGCAAACGGACGTTTGATCATTCCCCTCAGTTCAGAGACAGATTGAACAACTGTTTTGTGGGGACCTTGACCTCATAACAGTGTGATTATACAGAGGATAGAGTGGATCAACATTCTAGCTGTGATCTTGTCAGAAAAGGTTATTAAATTCTTGATATACATGTAAACAGATGAAAGTCATTTATATGGATATTCAATTACACACTTGATAAATTTTATAAATATACCGGGTACCTTGAATACTTATACGATGTTAATTCAAGGTTTGATCATGCAAATAAATAAACTTACTAAATAAACGTATAATTTATTATGCTAGTCATTTTGTTTATATTCATTCAATTTTTTTTCGATGGCAAGCGTCCGCGTGCTCCTTGGTGGTTGGCACACATGTACAATATCAGAAAAATCAAAGTCCTGAAATTGCACTATAGAATTCTTTAATTTAATGACATGTCTTTCTTAATATCTCATATAATGAATATGTTCTGAGTTTAATACCTTGGTTTTGTTATAGAATAGATACTATATAGTATTTCTACGAGAAAAACAGATAAATAAAAACAAGCTGTAAATGAATGCCTAAAAGTAAATGTAACATCATAAAGCTGACGTCTTGATTGTAAGCGTGAACTATCCAAATTTTTCACGGTTTAATAAAACAAATGAATTTTTTTTCTTTTGATTATTTATGTTTGATTGTTTGGCCTTCTTTAGATTTTTATAGAAATCGGGATTTCAGTACACAACTGAAAAAAAAAATCAATTTTTAAAGAGACATGGACACAGTTTGAACTGATTTTTTTAAAAAACAATTTTAATGTTTACAATATTCTAATCAAGACAAATCAAATGATCAGTAAAAATTTGAACATCATTTGTTGATGTACAAAGAAGATGCAGGCTCGTAACTTGTTTGTGTTTACATATAGATTATATCATATTTATAACAAAACAAGAATTAAAAAAATCACAAGAAACTGTCTCATGATATTAAGAATTAAGTTTTTTCTGAAAAATTTGCTTTGAACGAATATACATGTATTAGTATATTTAAACCTATGTAAACAAAAACATGACACGGGCCTTGTTTACAAAACAAAGGTTTGGAGCTCTAAATCTGTCTTGTATCTCGACAACTGAATTCAGACTTTTGATAATCATTAAAAAGAATTAGGCCTATTTACAAACATAAAAAACGGAAAATTGAATTTTAAATTTTTTAGCTGATTAAACGTGTCCATATGTCCCTTTAAAAAGAAATTTCTTTTACGTTCGCGGTAACAATTAATTTACGGGTGTCAACATTATATCAACATTGGATATAAGCAAAAAAAAAGAAAAAACACAGATGTCTTGATTCATTAGTAGATATTTTCTTGATTCAATGTGCATGAGTCTCGATCATGCCATTCGCTTTTACCTTTTTCATCGCACGACTTAATTAATGATAAATACGCTGTACGACTTACTAAGTACCTGCCACTCCCAACAGCGACACCTATGAGTCATTTTTTCGAAATGAAAGAAGAAAAGAAATAGTTTAAACAGATTATTTTTCGCTGCTTTACTCGAGGATTCATAAAAAATGGGTAATTTAAATAGCTGTACATTAGTATTCTTATTTTAGACATTTTATACATTAGCTGGTTAGGAAAACGGTGAATTATCAGTTATCTACTTGTATTTTACTCTGTTGCAGATCCAAAACAATCTCTAACTTTAGCCATTGATCATGTTGATTAAGCTTAAATTAGATGTATTCAAGTATTGTGTACAGTTTATTAAGCTATTCAGAAAAGGTTGATAAAATTATTTTTATAGTTTTCACCAAAATTTATTTTTGTGAGACGGTCAGAAGCATTTTATACGGGTGCGTCGATTTACCCAAATGGACCCAAATCATGAAATGGAAACTCAAATGGACCCAAATGGAAATCAAATGGACCCAAATGGAATATAAAATATATATATTATATCGTATTCTCAAGTTTTACTTATCTAAAACATAGAAAATAATGAAATTAAAACAAAAAGAGAATATTTTAATATCATTATTTTCTTCAATTGTATTTTTAAAAATGCGATTTAATTTAATTCTAGCGATTTAATTTAATTCTATTTGTAATAACCATTGAACATAATTGAATACAAAACTGAAGTATTTAATAGTTTCTATGGCCGTAGGAATGGATGGGGGGAGGGGGCCATGCCCCCCCCCCCACCCCTACCCCCAAATAATTTTGCCAGTATATAGAATACTATCAAAACTTCATGTTTCAAAATACAATATTAGAGATTAACAATTTTAAAAAATCCATTTGTAACTGTAAATTCATTTATTTTCATCATTTTAAATAAGTATTTAAATACGATAATTCATATTTAATATTCATTTGTATTTCCATTTGGGTCCATCTGGGTCCATCTGGGTCCATTTGTGTAAATCGACGCGCCGTTTTATACACACATATGCAGGGTACCACTTGTGCACTAGTCTTGAAATGTATGACTTTTTCCAGGCCTGTTTAACAATTTTGATAAATTTAACATGCCAGGAAAAAAGTCCGAACCCACGCCATTACGAAATCTGGTTATTTTCCACCTCCAAGCTGAGGCAGCATTTTCAGGTTGATTTTCGATACTAAATTACTTGCAAACCGATCAAATGTCAAACTCACAATTTCTCAATAGTACAATACTTTTAGTACGAGAGTTCACCAACATTGTTTCCATGGTTTGCTTATAAATTTACAATCCATTGAGAACATTTTTACAGACTTTTGAGATTTGTTTTCATTTCATGCATTTTAAAATCTTTGCAAATCAGGTTTTGAAATGTGGAGTGATATTTTCTTTTAACCAATATTGGTAAGTACTAGAAGCATTGTGCTATTGATAAATAGTGAGTTTGACATTTAATTTGGTTCACAAGTATTAAAAATGAACTTGAGCTGGAGGCTGCAAAATTTTCAGTTTTGAAACAGCACCTGTTCTAACATTTTCCTTGTACATCAAATATCTTAATACATGTATATAGAATATGTATATAAAAGATATTTTTGAATAATTTAATTTCCTATTATGAATCATTCTAAGGAACATATAATATTTTGTATAACATAACTTGCCTACGTCACAATGAGTTACGTCAAAAACGTATCACTGCGCTTGACGTTATTTTTAAAATAATGCTCAAATTGAAACCTTTTTCCGGAGGAAATATTGTCTCATTGTCTATACTGAAATTAAATTATAAGGAATGAAGCTTATTTCAACTTATGTTATCCGATATAACAAAACTTGGGGCAGTTTACGCTTTTTTATAAACCGCTTCAAAGTTTATAAAGCGTAAACTGCCCCAAGTTATGTTATATCGGATAACATAAGTTGAAATAAGCTTCATTCCTTAACTAACAGGTACACTTACTACACTCAGGGATTTTCCACTCCATTTTGGGGATGGGGCCCAGGCCCTTACCATTGGGAATTTTACATTTTACAACATTTGGGAAAATTTATAGCAAGATGTATTTCAATAAATAAACACTTATGATAGTTAAAATTGATTTTTTACTACATTATTCAGAACTTTACTTCAGAAAATAAATCTATTATTATAAAGTTTTAGCCAAGTCTCCAAAAATTATGTTCATTTCATTCATAATTCAAACCTGACCATGTTTGTTTTGCATGAATTTTTAAAAAATTAAACACAGGTGTTCATTTTTGCGAAAAATGGAGTGATTTTGCAATTGGGAATGGGGCCATATTCAGCCCTACACGGGCCAGTGGAAAATCCCTACACTAGCCTAAAAAAGTAATTTTTTTTAATTATTTAAACTTACTTTTATGCCATAGTATGCCTGAAGTGCCTTGACTGTTTAATTTTTCAATTTAAGGTACACTTGATAAGTTGGGGAACTGGCCCTTTGCATCTCTGATGGCCACCATTATTGTCTTTGTGGGAGTGGGGGTGTTTTGTGGCACCCTGTACCGAGCATTACAGATCATCATTATCAATGTTATGGAGGGATTGTTCCAGTTTACAGTGACTTGGTATGTGGCATGTAAAGTAACGCATCACTTACTCAAGGAATTTAAAGATCCTGCATGTTTTGAGTGAATTCATAGGTTCAAATTAAAGTCCTGATGTAATTAGATTTAACCATATTCTGAAAGAAACCAATGTGTTGACATACAAAGCAAATAGTAATACTCTTTATATGTCTATGTTAACATTTTTTACCCTCTAAAGCATGATACATTTTTTAATGTACTGAAAGTACCTGTATGTGTTTTCTTTAATGAGCAATGAAGTGAAAGTTGTAATTGATGAAAAAAAGAGTACTTTTCTTATTTAAATATTTTACTTCTAATAGAGTAGTTTCCTGCAGATTATTTTTTCAAATCAAAAATCTTATCGCTAAAATCTTATTGCTTTAAAATCTAGTAGAGGAGGCTTTTGTACTTAAAAAAACATTAGGTCTTGAAGGAAAATGAATGAGATAATTTTTGTTTTATACATGTTTTGACATTTGAATTTCATTGCTGAATTTTCTAGGCTGTCTGTGGTTCAGATTGTGTTCATTGTGATTGCCATAGTGATGGCACTGTTCTCCATTGTCCTGTTGGTTTTCGGTTTCCTTGCAACAGGAGCAACCAGACAAAATGTATACTCGGGGAAGAGATGCATTATGGGAGGACAAGTGTCTGCTGGTTTTGTAAGTTAATTTTATTAAATCGGAATTTTATTCTTATCATACTTTAGAAAACTCATGTGACTTTTACCAGTTGCTTCTTGTACTAGGGTATAATGTATTATGAAAATATTTCCTTTCAGTTTATGATGATGTCATTTCTCTTTAGTTTGTGATGATGTCATTTCTTTTCAGTTTATGATGATGTCATTCCTGCTGAGTTTAGTCTGGCTGGTGATCGTGGGTGTGGCCACCATTCCTGTGTTTCTGTACATCATGCTGGGGTCCATCTGTAACCAGCAATAGGAAGTTTACCACAACAATTATCAAACTGTGGCTTACTGCTTCAGACTCAAACATTATGGTCAGTTCTTAATGTCAGACTCAAACATTATGGTCAGCTCATAATTTTTTTACTTCCTTCTTCAAACTCAAATGTTATGGTCAGTTGACTCAGTTGTCAATGTCTTCTGTAGCCTTTCATACAAACCAAGGTTATTAGCAATAAGAAAGAGTACACAAAATATACCTGTACATCCTTGATTTAACCTGAATAACTAAATAAACCTATATGTAAACCACATATTATGATTGATTAAAAATTGGTTTTTAAATTTAACAATTTTATTTTTTCCATCCAGGTATCTACAGGAATTCCACATACCCATTTCTGGGTGTTGCTGCTCCAGGGAGGGATGAAATCTGTAACCCTGTTGAGCTAAGGGTCCTATGTGATAGGGTAAATATAACTGTACTGAGATATATGAAATTAACCACACATATTTTTAATACCAAATGACTGCCTAATAGACATTTAGTTATTTGTGTTTTACAATGCAAAAATCATAAAGATTTGCACAATTGTTTTGTAATTTTATCAGTTGATAAATAATGAAAAAGATGAGGTTTCCAGTTTGTTTAGCAATTTGAAAATATTAATTAAAATTATGAATACAGTTTATTTAATTTTTGAAATTCTAAGAGTTTCTGGAAAATGTCGCCTTTTACTTTTGTCAATAATTGGTACTTTTGAGATCTCCTGATTCCCCAATGTAATTTACATAGTAGATAATTTCCTAATTGTAAAAAAAGAGAGAAAAAAATTCCTTACTGTAAAACAGAATTCACTGTCTAACATTTATTGTTTCATTTCAGTTTGCTGAGGCAGGTCCTCTGTTCTGTGTAGCCCTAGCTGGGGCAGCGTGTATCGTCATTGGTATGGTAGGTACTCAGAATATTTTTCCATGTACTTGTATAATGTTTTCCAACATCTAAAGGTGGATTTAAACCAATCTTGTAGAAGTGGTAAATCTGTTGAAGTGAAATGAGATTCATACTTTGACTATTCCTTGTTGGAAAAGTCACTTTCTTAAGGACAAAAGAGGTATTTCAAGTGAAAAACCAGTGGTTCTCTAATCTTTTTATATGTTTCTTTATTTCCTAGCTTTTATTTATGTCCACTCTATCAGCTAACTACACCAGAATCAAAATCTCCAAGGAGCTGACGGATTACCGCAATGCTGTGGACATGGAGGAGATAGACCTACACAGCAACATGAAGGGGATAATGGATCAGTCGTATGACAAAAGCAGCTACCGGTGATTCCGATTCACTGAAACGTTTGGAAGATTAAGCATATCCTGCACAACATGAGAAAATCCATATTTTTGAAATCTTTGTCCATTCTTACAGTATATATTAGATTACCTGATACCTTTATGAAGGAATGGAGGTACTCTGTCTTAGCAATTGTATTAAAATTGTAGATGAACTATAAGTATGTATTAACACATCAATGTGGTGATGATTATTCAAAACTTTTGTGCATATCAACTTACGTGTGACTATCATTGTGTTATTTCAGAATGAGTCTTTTTATCTGCAAACTTATCTTTTGTATATTGCGTAGTTGTGAAATGGTGTTTTTTTTATAGTATTTTATTTTTTTGTTTGAACACAAAAAATGTGATATGTGTTACCCAAGGGTTATGTGCAGTAAACTTTTGAAAATATATTTTACAAAATATCAGTTATCCCTTAAAAAAATACTTTATGCATAAACATTCCAGACTTTACGACATATCAGCATGTTTTCCACTAATAAGAAAAGTTTATAATTTTTTTGTTGTTTTTTTTTTTATATAAGACTTGCCCTATTCTGATTGATCTTCATTTTGTTCACGTATTAGAAGGGAAATAACTCCCATTGCACATTCGAGTGTTTATCTGTTTTTATACATATCTTATCATATTGAAATCATTTTTATATTTTTTGCCATATTTTCAGAGATGAGATACATATCTTTAATCTAACCTGACCATAACTTTTTTTATGAACATGTTCTTTGTGTGTTTAAGTGCATGTTTCTATATTTTTTTAAATATATATTTAATATAAATTGTCTTTTAGAAGTATATTGAATGTAAAGGATTGTTATTAGCATTTATATTTGCTTCATATCAAGCCCTTATCCATAAAAATATATTTGCAAAATTCAGATCATTGATTTAGCTCTCCAGAAAATATTAATGATAAAAATTTTGATATTTTGCATGCTAAGGAAACATCTGTCTGTAATAGTTTTAATATAAAGTAATTTCTTTGTATTTTTTGCTGTGCAAAAACCAATTTAGAAAAATGTTATATTTAATTAAAGTGTGGAAATCTGATTTTAGTATTCAAATTATCAAAATGCCTCTGTCTTTTATATTTGACTTGTGTATATTTTGAATAAATTCGCATTATGTACTAGATGCAAGTGCATATGTATCTAATAAAAAATCTAAAGTAAATGTCTTTTTCATCTTTAACCTTAAATTAAAACAAAAAAAAACATTAAACTTTATCCTGAGTTTTCATGGTGTAATTTCTTATTAGCAGCATTCACTTAAATACTTTTTATTTAACAGATTGTCCTGAAAGCATTTTTGATTGTTTTCAAGAATTAATATATAGTCAATTAACTATATAATGGACAAAAAATCATTTAATATGCCATGTTTACCACTTTATCCCATGGTTTTAGCGTGATAAAGTATGGAGTCCTATATATAACAGTGTAAAGCACTGATTGTGAAGTATTAAATATGGAATAAAAGGAATCTCCCATGATTTGTAGTTGGATATGACATTTATCCAACAAGTTGTGTGTTTTTCTCCCTTGCCAAGGCTTGAGGATAAAAAAAAAGAAACCTCACACAACTCGTTGGATAAGAACCATATCTGACTAGTCTTCAAATCATGAGAGATCCTATTTTTTTTAACTCATTTGTGAACAATGTGTAAATTAGACTAAAGAAAGGCATTGCAACACTGGCATACTATATGGATAATTTTAAAAAATAATTTGATACGTAATTCATGTAAGTTAAAAGTACATGTTGATGCATGAAACCTTTAGAAATAAAAGTTTGAGGTAACGGACAGTATGAAGCTCATAAGTCCATACAAGTTATAAGAATCATAAGCAGATCAAACACTGACCTGTAAGAATATCAAAAGTGTGATCAGGTGCCATGGAGGAGTAAGCACCCCCTGCCGACCGGCCACACCCGCCTGTGCCACTTGTCAAGATCGGTCAATTAATATTTAGATGGCAGTGACATATTTTCTTGCTGAATTAATATTTGTTAATCAAACAATGAATGGATGGGGTTATTCTCCAATCGAGTTATATTTTTGACCTGTTCAACTAAGCCTACTATTCTAAAAAACAAAGGCAGTTGAGGTGGACCCAAAGTGGTATACTCAGGTTAAATAAAAAAAAATCAGGTGACATCCCC